CAACTGAATGGTACATAAAGTATCGATTTTCTTTAGCATACTATGAACATTCTTTAAGTAATTGTACTTAAAACTGTAAAACAAAATTTTGTTACAATAAGTAAAATAAAAGTAAAAAGTAGGGCTGGGTATGTAGATAAATTGGTACAGCATTTTTCTCGGACAGAAGATCCCCTGGTCTCTCTCTCCAGCACCACATAAACAAAGCTTGGTGACCCATTCCAGAATTTTGAATGTGGAGACCAAAGAGTAACAAATTTCAGTTCATCCTTGGCTACATAGTAAGTTCAAGGTCAGCTTAGGCCACATGAGACTCAGTCTCAAAAGAAAAAAAAAAACAAAATAGGAAGATGAGAGAAATAATTGCATTCCCTTTGTGGACACATAACACAAAACACAAACAGTGTGGGAGCAGGGGCTGGCTACCAGTGGCTAGTCTAGTAACAACTCAAATCTCTCCAAGACTGACTAGTCTGTCAAATAAAAGGAGGAGAGCAGATCCTTACATGAGCTGTCCCAAAATAAGTAAAAACATTACTTCTGATCTTTTAATCCAGCAAGGCATTCTTTCAGGATTCTTTCATATTTGACAATAACCTCATCCTAGAGTCACAGTGTGAGTCCTTTGGGGGTTCTAGCACCTTGTTACTATGTTTATGAAATAGCACAACTTCCTGAACAGTATTACTGGTATAAGATGTTCCCTTTTCCTACCTTCATTACATTAATTGCATGGTAGTGTGTTTAAAGGTTCTTATGTGCCCATGTTGGTGCATGTGGAGGTCAGAGGTCAATGTCATGTCTATCTTGATTGATTTCTACCTTATTTTTCAGACTGAAAACATTTTCACCAAATCTAAAGCTGACAAAGTCAGCAAGATTAGCTGGCAAGTAAACCCCAGAGACCTTCCTGTCTCTGCCTCCAAGTGACAGAATTATAGGCAAGCCTTTTACAGAGGTGCATGCACAACACAGCAAGCATGTGACCACCTATATAATCTCCCCAGCGTCCTACTTGGCTATTTTAACACTGTACTCTTGAAGTTTTACTTATATTATCTCTAGCCTTAAGCTAACATAGATGGATTTAAGATCTGATATTCATTAATATGCTTTCATAGTATAAAGAAATGTGAAAGGAAAACGAGACAAAGTAAAATTATTGTAAAAAAAAAATTGTGCAGCACTAGGGCTACTACAAGAATGACATAGCACTTGAGGATAGCAAATATTTTCCTAAATTCTAATTCAGAAAAATAAAGTAGTATATAGTAGCTATGCATTTAACAATCATTAATAGGTCACATATAACTGAAACAGGCCTTTTACTCACTATATAGCCAAAGATGACCTTGAATTTCTGATCATCTGCCCCTACCTTCCAGGTGCTAGCCTTACAGATATGTGCACCATCAGTTCATGTGGTACTAGGGATTGAACCCAGGGCCAAACACATGCTAGACAAGCATTCTACCAATTGAATTGAATCCAGTCCTGTTTTCACTTTTTAGGACATTAGTAAACAATCAACAACAAAACAAAAAAAGCATAAATGTTTCTAGGTACCTCACAAACTTCTTGGTTTTATCAGAAAGTCCTAAGATTTGCTAAAACAGAATCCAAAACTTATGTTGAAACCAGCAACCTAACTCACCTGGTGACTCTCCTCCCACATCTGAGACTTGGGTGGGATCTACTGCAGAGACCACACTGACAGCACTGGTGGGTGCACTTGTAGTAAGGGTGGAAGGTAGGACTGCTGATTTTTTTGTTGCAATGATGACACTTCTGTAATAAAGATGTTAAAATGTAAATTACTTACATTAATTATATACATTTCAAAATAAAAAGAGGTTAATTCATTTTCTTTCTTATTTTTGATGTATTCTTTAGAATATTCATCAACTTAAAGTCTCTTCACTGTTGTCCATATTTATGTGCCTTTTCTCTTTTAGAGAGAGGGGGTGGGAGGGGAGGGAGGGAGGGAGGGAGGGTACAACCTTGGATGTTATTCTTCAGGAGCCAACCACCTTGTTTTTGAGAAAGGGTCTCTCACAGGGCAGAAAACTGCTGAGTAAGCTAGGCTGGCGACTGGTGGACCACAAGGTCCACTAGGGTCTTTTCGCCCAGGGCTGGATTTACAAGAGTACACTACATCCAGTTTTGTTTGTTGGTTGGTTGGTATTTAAGGTGTATAAATGGTGGTCTGCCTGCACGTATCTTTACACTCTATGTGTGGCTGGTGCCCACAGAGGGCAGAAGTGGGCACTGAATCCCCTGGAACTAAGTTACCAACAGCTGTGGGCTACTATGTAGGTGAAGGAAATCAAATGCAGGTCCCTGGGAGGAGCACCCAGTGCTCTTAACCTCTGAGCCATCTTTCCAACCACCTCCCCACTGTCCCTTCCACACACACAGCTTTTTAAAACACTGGTTTGTAAGGATCAAACCCAGGTCCTCTTGCTTGTATAGGAAACACTTTACTGGCAAGCTATTTCCCCAGCCTCATTGTTTTAAAAACTAGAACAATGTCCTATGAAAATAATTCATTTTAACGTTTTAATGAATATTTACAACATTAGACGTTTTTAAATTTAAGATTGTTTTGAATTTTCTAATAAACATAACCAAAGATAATTTGGGGGCAAAAAAAAGAATTTTGAAATTTAAGAGGACAAGTAATTAACTTTTTTTAAACCACCAGAACAAAGATGCAGAAAACTAAGCATGCTTCAAGAAGGATTTTAAAGCACGGCTAAGTTGAAATCATAAAACCTTAAGTATCTTAAAAGATAAGACAATACCTATACAAGTAATGGATACATGTATATAGCTCATAAAATATGATAGCTTTTGATTGCATCACAGAGAAAACAATGGACAACTGTTTTAAACAGAAAAGGTGCTGAATAACCAGTTGTTCATATTGTTCATATTGTGTTCAAATTCAGGCATTTATGATATACCAATTTCAATTAAAGTACAATACTTTATACTAAAAGAGTAACTAAAAGACCTTGTTAGACATAACTTAGAAGGCATTTTTAATTGAAGTTAGCTCTATAAACATGCAAAAACCCAGTTAATGAGGTAAAAGGACAGCTGATATATAATGTACTCCCACAGCAGCTCTTACTTTTAATTACCCCGTGTTAACCATAAGCTTAAAGTCTTCAACATTCAATTTATTTAATCACGTCTTTTGTTGACAACACTGTAAGCTGAAAGTATTCCCTTAATAGCTTTAAAGTATTTGATTTTTAAACAAAGTTGCTTAGGTACTTTATCCTAATAAATGTATTCATAGTTTCTAAAGCACGTAGTTCTATTATTTTAAAATATATATTCCTGTTGTTAATTTAAAAAAAAAAAAAAAGAACAAACTGAAATAGGTTCCGTTTTACTTCAGTGACTATCATTTGAGGGCAAACACTGTTGCCAATTAAATCAAGTTATCTTGTGCTAGGCAAGGCTTATTCAATGTACTTGGGGGTAGCTGGTGTCACATCATTATAAGGGTGACTGCCAATGTTAACTATATACTAAAAAATAGAAGCAACAGCCACCTGAGCCCCCAGTCCAAAAATGGTGTGCTTAAATCATGGTAGCTTATATCAGATGAAGATCACTGACTTAAAGGGAAGTAGATATGACCTCTGTGTGTGTGCGCGCACACATGCACAAATACACATGTGCTGGTGGTACCCTCAGAGAACAATGCTAAATATAATACGTGTTTGCTTTTCCTACTCTTGCCAGCAATGTATATACTAATATGTAAGAAAAATCTCTATGCTTTAACAATTAGGTAGAAAAATAAGTATGAATAATTCACTTTCACATTTGTTCACAAAAGAACCATTACAATCTGTTTTGTGCATACAACAGACACTTATCGATGGTCAAATAACATTTAGGTTAGTGAAAGTATGGGCAGGAGGAAATTAGTGAAATTGTGGGCAGGCACTGCCACAGCACTTTGCCTAATATGCCTAAGGGCCAGTGTTCAATTCACAGCAGTGAAAAAAAAAACCTACTTGCTCTATAATCAAAATTTTAGACATAAATTTATCCTATGACCTAATAACTATACCTCAGAACCTTGCTCAAGAAAATTTAAGTATGCAATAATACAACTGTGCCTGCAGATGCGTTAAAATAGCTGAAAACTGGCAACTGCTCTAATGTACTTCATTCAGAAAAACTAAACTTTTAAATGGTGAGTACTTACATAGTAGGATACTATTATGTAACAAGATGATAGACTGTTAATAAAATTATCAACATGGATGAATCTCAAAGGTGTTATGTTAAATTAAGGAAACCTATATTCAAGAGCATAGTTTTAATTCCTTTCTTAAAAAGTTCTGAAGCAGGCAAACTAATAAATAAATGGTTTTGTAAAAAGTTAAAATACCAATTGCTTCTGAGGGACAGGGACAAGGAAGGGTTGGGTAGAAAGGGAGAATCTTGACTGATGTTTTGTGTAACACAATTACAAAAACTGATCAAAGCCCATTAATACAACACTACACATTTGTTCCTTAACATTCACAATCCTTATTTGCCCATGGTTAATTAAAACACAACAAAACCTTGATTGGTTTTTAAACATTTAGCATACTATTAATACTTTCAATAGTGAAAATAGCATATTCTTTTATTCAATTCAAAATAAATTTTAAGAATGCACCACAAATCAGATTTCTGATTTCAGTCATTGCCTCACAATGAACCGTTTTTCATGTTTTACCAAGCTATAGTTCACATCATACAATTCAGGCACATAAAGCATACAATTAAATAGTTTCCAGTATGTTCACTCAGTTCTCCAACCATTGTATTCATGTTAACACTTAAATACATCTTTATTATAATCACCTATATAGAACAAAAATTAAGAGTTTCAAGATAAGAAATTATGCATACACTGTTAAATTACAAAAACATGTCTGATAATAAATAGAAAATGATGCTTTATTTTATTTTTTAATTTTAATAGGGGAGAGCATAAAGACAGTTCCCCACTACCAGAAATTACGCAGTCAAGTTTCCCACATTTGGGGAAATCTCAAGGGTCAGCACATCTATAGTGTAATGGATAAGACTGATCTTTGGAAAATCACCTTTGTAATCATGTTTTCTCCCCTGCTGTTTATTCTAACTATGATTTAGTACACACAAAAAATAAAATTAATAATTTTTAAATCATTACCTGATTCAAATCACTTCTAAGAAATAACACAATACTACTAAAGCTCTGGGCTGTATTAAAATAAAATTCAAAATCACATGATCTAATTAAAGTGCAATAAATAATGTGCACATATTGCATATTTTCATTTTATTACTACAGTAAAGTTTCAGTGTGAAGACTAAAGCCTTCAGCAGAAGAGATTTCTAGCCCATTCTGCTCTTCTTGTAAGCATAAATCTAAACTAGGAAAGCACATTCTAAATTTTGAAAAGATAACCTAAAAATTTAAACTTACCACTCTTTAATGAGAATTAGCTATACAAAAATAAAATATTTTGTAGTCTCTTTGAAAAAAATAAAATGCATTACACACAGAGCTCACTTGAGAATCTACTGTTATCAAGTACATTTATTTTTTTATTCTTCCATCTCTGACTCTAGTGTTGGGTATTCAACCCATGATCTGGCACAGACAAGCACAAACTCCACCACTGAATATGTCCTAGGCCTTAAGTTTCTACTTAAAAAATAAACTCAAAATCTGTCTTCATGTTTATGAAACAAGTAATGATCTGAATTACTGTACAGATTTTTTAGTACTTTTTATAGTTCCACAAATAACAAGTGAAAAAAAAACTGTTGTTTTATCATCATTTTTCCTAAATTAGGGACTTTGAAGGTTCTTTCATTTAATTAGTAATAAGCACAAAATAAACAGCAATAATATCTTCCAGACAAGTTTCAGAATTTTCATTATAAAATCATATCAGTTCAAAATATCACAAACCTTTACATTGCTATTTTATTTAACATGGTTAAATGAAATGGTTCACCAACAGGAAAAAAAAAATATTTTAGCTGAGTACTTTAGTCCCTAAGGATTCAGCTGAAAACACAGACCAGTCCTTGAACTTTATCAAGATAAATCCCTGGTACCCATTAATCGCCAGCAAGGATCTCCAAATTAGATAAGAGCAGGAATCTTGGCATGGGAATGAACACAAACACCTTCCCTTTCACAGACACTGAACCTGGCAGCCTTTCAGCAAGGGTTCACTCATGGAGCTGTTACTCTAAACTTCCCAGCTATTGCTTGGGAGTTGATAATTCTGAAGATATGAGGAGAGTTCTGATTTCTGGCACAGCATTCCTGAGATAAATACATGATCAGAGGGATGCTTTGAAATTTCCAAAGACACTCCATTGGCCCAGGGCTTCAAGAAAAATCTTTCAAAAGGTGTCTCTTGCTAAGAAAAAAAGATAAGAGGAGAGACAGAGAAGATTGTGCTCCATCAGACAATGTTAAATGCATACCAGACATGTTAAGTTCTACGGAACATCGTGAAAAATGCCACTAGCAAAATTATTGTTTCTTTCTTACTTTAACAAACCTTTTTAAAGGACAGGAATCCTAAGCAGGATTCCTGAAGCAGATGCATAATCTCACTTAAGGCACTGAGAAAAGAGATTTAATTTGAACATTATTGAAAAGTAAATAAATGCCAAAATAAAAATTTTGGTCATTCATAAAAAACATTTTAAGTATACTAATAAGACACAGCCAATTAAAATATTTAGCCACCCAATTGTTTCTTATTATTAACACTAGCACAAATTTAAGTTAATTTTAAAATGGGAATGGTAGCTCATACCCATAATCCCAGTCTTGACCAAGACAGCATTACCATGAGTTCAAAAGTCTATGGCAAGACAATCATTTGAGCTGAAGAATTTGAAGCTGGCCTGGACAACATAGTAAGGTGCTATTTACAAAAGAGGGAATTATAGAGGGCAAAAACTGAGCTAACTGAAAAATATATTACTACATAGTCTAATATGCAGAAGCCTCTAATATCAGAAGTCACCAAATGAAACAGAGAACCTTAAGTCAACAATGAATGAACAGAAAATCCGATAGTGATGAAATTTTATAGCCTCTATTCACAAGGAATACATAACAGTAGAGAAACTTGGTGCATACCATTGTAATCACTGACCAGAGTAAGCTGCATCAGTAACAAAGCCTTACATATGCCACTGGACAGGAAGCAACAAGGAGAAGCTGTCACTTCTGTGATATTTCTCACAAAGATGTACAAACCTGAGTCTAATTCTAAGGCAACATTAGATAAATATAAAGTGAGGGACACTCAAAGACTTGAAGATTTGGATCATTTGACTTAAAAGGCTGTTATTGAACAGGCTATTCCCACGGCTGTTGGTTGCCCACAGAAACCAGATGATAAGACCCTATTGCTAAAACACACTTTGGTTATAGGAGACAGAAAAATCAAGTGAAAATTGAACTGGAAGCTTCCTCCCTGCTGGCTAGCTTTCCTGGAGTCAGAAGGTATTATACTTGCTGCTGAAGGGGAAAAATCATGACAAGTCCTACCAAACTGAGAATTCTGCAAGCGACATCACCAGCCTAGGCCACATGTTCTCACCAGTGCAATAGTAAGGAGCACAATTGCTATGGGAATGACCAACCATTTTCTGCTTGAATTTGAGGCCAGCTCCACAGAAGGGAACTCATGTCTGGTATTATAAACCTAGTCCAAAGATCATGGATGGGAGGTTATAGGAACTAGACAAAGGAACCTACAGCTATTGTTTTTCTAAATGAATATATTGTTGAACTACCTTCTAAATATTTATAATTTTACACATAAGATTACTACTGTGATCAATTAGATTTGGTCAGAGAAAATTCTGTTTGCAGAAAGCACCAGTTAAGAGACAAACTCATAACTGGCCAAACTGTGGGGAATAAGTGACTCCTAAGGCTTAGGGAACATCACTACAACAGAGTGAGCAAAAACAATGTAAGAGCTGGAGGATGGGAAGAAGTGCTATGAAATGCTGTCTCCTAGAAACAGCATCACTGTAGTACCTATGAACTTACAAAAACAGTGGTTATCTGCACAAAATCTGCATTGATGGAGGGGGGAACATGGAACCTCATAAGGCACCACCCCTCTTTAAGGAGCTACAGAAGTAAAACGGTTGCTGGAGGATGAAGAGTCAAATTCCTCAGTAGTATAGCAACTGGTAAATTGTCCTTGCTCAAGTAAATAACCCACTCTCCATACTCATGAAAAGAATCCTGATGAAATGCAGTGTGTGTGAAAAAGCGGAATGGTTCAGTAGTTAACAGCATGTACTACTCTTGCAAAGGACCAGAATTCAGTTCCAGAACCCATGTCAGTTGGTTCACAACTACTCTTAACTTCAGCTCCAAGGGATCCTCTGTCCTCCACAGGTACCTGCCACTCATGGGCACATATCTGCACACAGACATACATAATTTAAATAAATAAACTAGGGCAGTGAAGCACACACACACACACACAAATCAAAGTAGGGAGGATGCTTGCTGGGAAAAAGGGGTTTAACGGGAGGTGGATGGGGATAAGAGGAAAATGAGGCAGGAATGATTGAAGTACATTATATAAACATAAAAAATTGTGATAGAATAAATAAAAATAGTAAATAATTTTAAAGAAATTTAGGAAATAATTATAGTTAGTATTTTAAGATTGAAAAAGCATTATATCAATTTTAGTTTTCTTATTTAAAAATAATGGTATATCTATATAGGAAACACAGAAAGTATTAAAAATATCTAAGTATCATATTAGCAACTTATGTCTCAATAAAAATAAAAAAATTTGTAGTAGGAACTTTTCTGTACATTAGTTTGTTTCTAGATAAAAATACTAATTTTTAAAATTATTCAATCAATAACTATGTGTTGGAGGTAGAACATAAGAAAACTTTATAAAATATAAAGACAATGACCAAGCAGGCTGATCGTAGATTACAACTGGTAGTAGATCACCTCTCTAGCAATACTGAGGCCTTGGGCAGCATCTTGAACAACACACATAAATTGACTAGATAGAGAAATGGGCAAATCTCTTTTTAAAAAATTCCTGAGGGCTGCACAATCAACAAAGATTCTGTAGTTAGCTTTCTCAAACTGCCCAGGCCCAGAACCCCTGGTTGAATTCCTTTATCTGCTGGCATCTAGATTCCCATTTCTGTTGTTTTCACAAAGGCTAGCACGGCCGGAAGCAGGGGAATGATGGGAAGCTATTGTAAGTTCAAGCAATACCTGAGGTGGAACCAAAAAACAAAAAGGTTCTTTTACACACAACGTGCACTACTAAAAATATACCTAACATCATTTTAGTGGCATGTAAGATGTTAATAAATAAAAGTTTGAAATACTGCACAAACCACACAATAAAACTACACTTTTTTTAAATAAATTAGATCCAAACATTCTACTCTAATGTTGAAGCCACAAAATTTAGACTTTCATACTGAATTCCTGGTTACCTCTACAATTTGCAAACATCAGCATAATAAAACAAAGGATTATTTACATACCTGTCAAAAGATCTGAACTGCACCGGAGGGTCAACAGACAGATCTCCAAGAGCACCAAGACAGGCTGGGGGCAGAAGGGCCGGATCCACTGTGACTCCATCTGCTGGCATATTAACCAAGCTCCGGAGAATGTCCTTCACATTGACATTTTTTGAAACTGGAACTGATGGTGTCACCTTCCTATCCAACTCGTTTCCTCCATCAATTTTTGTTTCCTGAGATTTATTGACTTCCAAAGAAAGAGTGCACAGCACCTCACTGATGGCATCTGGACCCGCGCTGACACCCAGAGGCGCTGCTGGAGAAGCCACAGACGGATTGCTTCCTAAGCCAGATGCTGTTTCCTCACCAAGGCCAGAGTCCCTCCTTCGAGTAGATGAGGTGCCCTCCACTGATTCTTCCACCGATGACAGAGTTAAATGGCTAAACTCTGCCGGTGTGTTTTCGGCATCTTAACCAGGAACAGAAGAATAAATTAAAAAATCAAGAACTAAATTTTTAAAGGTATATTCAAGTCCCAGCAGTCATCTAAGATTTTGTGAAATATGTGTCATGTTCTCTCAAAATCAGA